AAGAAGCATCACTCATCTAAAATTACTAAGGAATCGACGGGTCTATCACTTGTCCAGCAAAAACCACCACGCCGCTGAGTTCCTCCTTGATCAAGAACACGAACGGGTGGTTGGCGATGAAGTCCACCGGCGCCTACAATCGCGCGCACCCGAAGCGCGTAGCGACAGCGGTCGCGGAGGCTGCCTCGGTCCCTTCCTCGTTCACCTCCACGAAGGACTCATGGTAGACATCAGACACGACGAGCGCCTCCACTATGTCGCCGAAGTTGGCGGCGTAGCGATCGAAGGGCAGGAGCAGCCCGAGGTCCAACAGCATCTCCCACGCGTTCGTCTTGTCCGCGACGGTGAACCTGGGAACCCTGAACGCGCGCACGGGGACCTCGTCTGTCAGAGTTCTGGAGCTCTCGAGCAGCGCTTAGCTTGTGCAGCAGCGTCGGCAGGCCGTCGTGCGCGTCCGGAAGGTAGATGTACATCGAGAACACCCGGTGCTCACCGCGGCCTTGTTGCGCGTAGCGAAGCCTCACAACCTTGTAGCCGGGCCGGCAGGCGATGCACTGCTTGCGGGTGCTCGACATGAACGGCACGCGGACGACGCAACCGTTGTGCAGGAAAAAGGCTTCGTCCCGCGTCAGGCAGGCGTCGAACTTGAGCTCCCACACGCGCTTGAAGTAGAGTGCGTTGGCGAGCACCGCTGGCGTCCCATGGTGGAGGCAACCCGTGGGAAGAACCGAAGAAGGTCCTTGATCCGGCCAGCCGTCGCGCCCGTGATCCACTGGTTGATCTGGCTCCTCGCTTCCTCTGGCTAGCGTAGATCAACACAAAGAACCACACGAAGTTGTCTCAAGCCCACCAAATTCATGAGCCGTACGTACGAGAAGAAAGGGGATTCTGAGTTTACCATAGTTTTGAAGAACGCCTGGCGCGCCTCTTATGTGCACCAGATCTGACTTAACTGGGTTGGCCTGTCGGTGTGAGAGTAAAGAAGGCCCAATAGTTTCTTTAGAGCGAGCAAGGCCCAAAATGTGTCCGGCCGCCAAACATGTTGGCCCAACTGAGAATCTTTTTTTAGAACAAAGAAAACTTTATTTATATTACTTCAGTTCTCAACAGGAAAGTCCTGCTGAAAAAATTGAGATAAAAAGTTGGGTACATCATGCAACCACATACATTCAGAATTTGAAAGTAAAGCAAACTTGGCTGTATAATGTGCAGCCATGTTTGCTTCCCTCCTTACATGAACCAAAACAAAATATGTGCATTGTCGACTAAGTTCGTGGATTTGATTTAGCACTGGAATAATAGCACACCTATTACTAGTCTTAGAATTCCATAGCGCCACTAATTCTTGGCAATTCGTCTCGACAGTCACCTTTGACAGTCCAAGATCATTTATCATTAGCGTCGCATCAAGATAAGCATAAGCTTCAGCAGTAAGAGCATCAGGTATCGACCCATGTTGTTTACATTTGGCTGCTACAAATTGACCTTGGGCATTAGTAAAACTATTCCCGAGGCATCTCCATAAGTTTTAGTTTTAAAAGCTGCATCAAAATTCACCTTAATTACCCCAGCAGGAGGAGGGCACCAGTGAACTTTCTATTCTTGCATCTTCAAAGTGTATACTGGTGGGCTAGAATGGTTAAGATCAGTTGCCATTTCCCACGCAAACTCTAATCAACCATTCATTGGCTTAAACCTATTATCGTTTGTCATCTCCTTCTCTTCTTTTTTGCCGCTCCTGTTATAAGGCAGCCTTCAATGAACTCATCTCTATCTTTATTTCTATCTCTATCTCTATATCCTATCTATATCTCTTCTTTGTCTTATCTTATTTTATACCTGTCTACCTAGTCGTGGTGAAACCCCAGCCGCCGATTTAAAACTGACAATCAATTTCTTTCCTCGCAAAACATGAAACTGACGATCATTCTTTCTTGTGACTAGTACATTGTCTGCGGTACAAAAACATTAATTGACGCACGTGCATTGCCAACACACGGTTGACTACTCGATTAGTAGAGGACGAAGATTGTGCAACATAGGGGATGGTGAGGGGCGTACGTCTCCACAACACTTGGTAACAAGTATAATAATTGATTAAAATAGGTGAAATCCCTCTCCGACTTGTGTTCTTCCCGTCACCCAGTACAGGACCTCCGATCTAGAGCAGATCTGGTGCCACATTTAAGGACCAAACCAGATCTCCAGTCTTGTAATAGTTTTAGAAGCTCTATTTTTTTTTCCAGGAACTCATGTTCACTCCTTTTAGACGACATCTCGATTCTTTTAAGGGGGCCTGACGATAGCGGTCCACCAAGCGACGGTGGTGGTTCGATGGGAAGCGAGTGAGATGATGGACGCACTGGTGAGCAGGCGGCAGAGGATAGCCGGTGAGTAGGGCTGACGGCGGTGGCGAAGCTCCAGCGCCTTTCCACAGATTCCAATTAGGGGATCATGGACTGAAGTAGCGGGGTGGGCACGGGTGACACGGCCGGAGGCGCCACTGTGATCAGGCATGCTTAAAAAACACTACAGTATAATACTTTAGACTTAGTTGATATCATAAATTTGGAAGTATAGTATCATAGAGCTACTGTAGAAGGCAATACTTATAGAGTATTATTGTTATGATTACGATGACAAATTGACGTGAAGTACTCCTAGGGGCTACCACAGTGGAGTACATGTACAAGTGAAGTACATGCAACTTATTTGTTGAGGACAACTGATGCAAGTGATACATCACCACATAGGAACTTGTTGTCTTTCTAGTACTAATTAGGAAAGCCATCATTGGCCCGGCCCATCCGTGCACGAAAGCCATGACAGATCGGGCCCATTTTGTTATAACCATGGCCGACACCTATCCATGTAGAGCACCGGCCCAGAAACTCCTCAGTCCTGCACTCCTGCGGCCCTGCCTCTCTTCTTACTTCTTAGCTCGCCGAGATGTCGCACGGCCTCGCCGGCGGCGTCGGCCCCCTCCGGTGCTGTCCCTCCGTGTCCTCCTCCTCCACCACCGTTCATCATACCCTGGACGCTCCCCCTCGTCGAAGCTTAGCGATGTGCGCCTCGACCTTCCCTCCTCCAGCCGCGCCCGCCATCGAGGGCCGCGACGTCGGGCTCTCGGTGACCACGCGGCGGGGCAGGGTGTTGCCGGTGCTTAAGGGATGCTCCCTCCTTGTCCCGCCCGGGCAACTCTGGATGCTCCTCGGCCCCAACGGCTGCGGCAAGTCCACCCTGCTGAAGGTTCCTCCCTGAACTAGGAGGCAGCATTTCGTGTTTTTCGCTCCCACTTTATTCGTGCAGGCCTGAGAATTGAAATCCGAACTGAATTCCTCAGACGTGGAATGCCTTAAGCGATTGGTTATCTGCATTCAACAGTAAAACGTGGAATGCCTCTGTTGCCTCCAATTTGAAACGAAGAAAATAGTTTCCTGCTGCGTGTAGTGCCCAATTTACTTGGTAGATGAGTTAGATACTGTCAATTATGTCCGGCAGTGTTTGGTTCATTTTTCGATTGGAAATGAAAATAGGATACAATCTGGATAGAATCAAGATCCAGCCCCTCAACCTCGTGAGTCGCGAGCACATATTTTTGGGGAGAAGGGGTAGTTGAACTTCATGAAAATGTTCAAGCAAGCATTTGTACTTTCGGGGGACCCAAAATTGTCAGGAAAGGTTTTGGTGACTTGTGAATGTGCGTGTCATTTAGTGTACTGATGCAGCTACATGTTGCTCGACAAAATTTTCAGTTTCTATCAGGGATCAATAGAAAGTCCATATTAAAAGCCAATAAGAAAATCTAATAAACCTTTGTACAGATGTCATGAATGTCAATTCTGTATCTCTTTTGTGGTGTTGGTGCATCATCACAAAGCAAGAAAAGGGGTTGAGCACTGGAGCAACAAATGGCAGTAGGCAGAGTTAGTTTGCACCCATTGTTTTTTGGGCCAGAATATAGTTTCTGTTACTTAATTATAAATAATAATGTAGTGACTGTTATATTCATGTGGAAGAAACAAGCGTGAGTTGGTTTTATCTTCTTGCCCTTGTGAAGTTGTTAGCTACATGCATTGTGCTCATTTCTGATTACTCGGTAACAGAACTTTGGGAATTTATTTATTCATTTATTGTCACTGTCACTTCAAATAAATACCAACACCATGTTTTTCTAGGTTTTATCAGGTTTTCTGAATCCATCGGCTGGTACAGTGTATATAAACAGACCATGCAGCTATGTCTTTCAAAATCCTGATCACCAGGTTGTAAAACTTCTCTTTAATAGTTTTCTAACTGGTCTGTTGTCAGGTCTCCCAATAGATTTTAAGTGGAATCTGTAGTATGCCAACACAATTAACTCACATAGCATCTATTGAATTCAGTTTCACTGTGACCTGTATCAGCTTATGCATTAAACTCTGAGCTGCTATTGGCTATTTTACTTTGTATTGGATAAGTAAATAATGTCTTTGGTTAAACGATATAAATTTATGCTTGCAATTGTACATTTAATCATGTGGCTCAATATATGAACTATGTCATAGACTCGGACAATTTGTCACAAAAGCTTTTCCATGCGTATCCTGCTGGAGCTCCAAATTCACACAATATCCACTTGAATTCACTTGGAGCTTAGTTTTCAGGTGAGTCACGCAATCTGATTATAATATTCTTGTACCATGCTAGAGAAAAGGTGCCATCACTTGTGCGTCTAGTTCTGTGTTCCTTAGTAGTCTTCTTTGTTGGGGACATCACAGTTCAATCAAATCTAACTTACCGTCTAGTAAACCATGAACTTTGTTATCTTCCTTTTTTTTTTTTGACAAACCATACATTTATGTTGAAAACTCAGACACACACATTGGAATCAAACATGTTCTAGCATGTATGAAAGCTTCCACCTGGTGGTCAAGCCAAGAACTGCAGCCCCAGATTATCCATGTGTCCAAGTCTTTATATGGAAGAACAGTTTTCTCAGTTCTGTCCTTTGGATGCAGGTTGTGATGCCTACAGTGGAATCTGATGTAGCATTTGGTCTTGGTAAGCTCAAACTTCCATTAGATGAGGTCAGGTTAAGGGTATCAAAATCATTGGATGCCGTTGGGATGTTGAGCTACTCTCAGGTAAGCATCTAAAATCCAGCTTTTGGATCATAATATAATGTCTTCACAATGTTCATAAACCTTCATTCAAACAGAGGCCAATCCAAACTCTGAGTGGTGGGCAGAAACAGAGAGTTGCAATTGCTGGTGCGTTAGCTGAAGCATCCAAAGTATTACTGCTGGATGAACTGACCACATTCTTAGATGAACATGACCAGGTACAGATCTCCTTCATATTCTGGTTTTTATGATTCCGTTAATTTCTTTCCCATTCGTTGGAGCTTATCATCGTGCCTTATATTAGTTTTGTCTAACTTGCACTGTAATGTTTTATGGCAAATGCTCTGGTAAAACTTTTGTGTTTCTAAGTCATTTTACTGGTTGTGAATTTGTGATATACGTTAGTGACAGTTCTGCACTCTAATCTCCGTTTGCTGCAACTGTAGATAGGCGTGATAAAGGCAGTGAGGAACTCTGTGGCTGCTGATGGGGAGGTTGCCGCGTTATGGGTGACTCATCGGTTGGAAGAGCTGAAATACGCAGATGGTGCCATCTATATGGAAGATGGCCAGATAATCATTCAAGGCGACGTCTCTACCATATCAAGATTTATAAAGAGAAAACAGGCACGCTACTTTGGTCATTTTGAACTCTAAATCCTCGAAGCTTTTGGCAAAGCTTCTCTTGTGTAAATGGATTAATTGCAAAGCAACTTATTTTGTTATTGTCAACTGTAGTTTTGCTGGAACATCTATTTTAGGCATTTTTCAAAGCAAATCATGTGCGACATGCTTGGCTGCTTGCAGTGTTGAATGTCTGCCTGTGAATGTGTGATTCGATTCACTTGCAGGCATATATGAATACGGCCTGGCCCGGGAAAAGCGTGGTCCCTTTGGGCCAGGTGTCGCTGCCCGGACTAGATTGATAGATCATTTTTACTTGGTTCAGGCCTGGTCTGGAAGAAGCCTGGCCTCTTTGGGTTAGTTGTGTGCGTGCTCAGTCATCAAGCTAGTTTTACTTTGCAATGGTCTGCACTTTTGGATGATTAGTGAACTGTTGGAGTTGGGAGTGACAAGGCTGAAGCTCGATAATCCGTTATGCTTAAACACAGGAGACTTAGCGATTAATAATTAATTTGTTGGAGTTGCTTAGTAATGCAACCGAGGAGTTTACAACTTCATAGTAATTCTTACCTTCTGCAACATATATCATGGTTCTTTCAGTATCATTCATCGTATACAAGTAGAACTGAAAATAGTAAAACAAAACAATAGCAGAGACATGAGCAGATTTTGAATCGTCCACACTCACCAATGATCACAAATAAGACATCATTTCGTCGTTAAGACAAGTCAAGAAGGTTAAACTAGTACTAACAAGGCAGTAGAAACTCGGTTTCATAAAAAAGTAGTTCCCACCTAGGAATTGAAGAATCCACCAACGCACAAATTCAACAGATACAGCAATTCGCTATCTCAGAGCTACAACAAGTTAAGGAGCTAAATCAATCTACGGCGTGTTTGATCATGCGTCGTCCGGCACCATCAGCTCATTGGGAGAAGTCGACACTAGGCAACAGGTCAGGCAAAGAGTTCATGAAGTCGAAACTGTCGTCATCCACCAACCCGGGCAAGTCCTGATCATAGCCTGCTCCTGCGTCCGCCCCATCAGCAGGATTGGCGCTGACAACATCCACCGCCACCACAGGGAAAGAAGTGAGGTAGTCTTCGATGAGCAGGGCAGCGTCTTCCTCCGCGGCACTCCTGGTAGTGGTGGCGATTGCTCCTGCTGCGTCGTCGTCCACTTCCTCCTCGTCCTCGAACTCGTCGTCGTCGCCCCTATGCTGCGCATCCCTGCTGTTCTTCTTGGCGTTCTTGCCGTGGCCGCTGAAGCGGATGCAGTACACCCTCACCGGCGACCGCGCTAGCTCGGGCGGGGCGGTGATGGAGTACTCGTGCATGACCCAACCCGTGCTGCCCTTGACACCGTGCTCCTGGAAGTTGAGTGCGTACTTGTCCCACTCGATCTCAATCTTCTCGGCGCTGCCGCGCACGCGCACGCGCAGCTTCTTCTTGACCTCCTGCCCTTCTTCCTGTTGGCGCTTCCTCTTGCCCTGCCCTTGCCAGGTCCCGTGTCCCACGCAGGAGCGCTTCTGGCGGTTGCCCTTGGCGTTCATGGCCTGACACGCCGCGAAGAAGAAGGCCTGATGCCTCCTCCCGTGCTTCTCGAGGAGAGCCCACGGCGGCGCGCTCAGCGGATCGTCCTCGATGATGTCGTTCGGCAGGAGGGGCTGGTCCTGGATGCGAGGGGGCAGGCAAAGCTCGACCACCTCCTCGTCAGTGGGCACGAAACGGTAGCCAGACCCTGCTCCGTGGCCATGGACGGTGGCTCTATTGCTCCTGCCGGCGGCGGCTCGCTAGGGATTTTCAGCGTGCGTGGCGTGGTGTGGCGGCAGGGAGGAGAAACGCGAAAGGATCGGGGTGGGCGCTAGGGAACAGGGGGCATTTATAAAACGGCGGGAACAAAAAACGCGTCGTTCTCAAGTCGGACTCCGACCCTGCAACGGGAAATTAAAACATGTACGAGCTCCGAGGGCGATACCAAGTAGGAATAGCCGAGCAGGAAACAATGAATCAATGTTGCCCTCCTGTTGGCGGTTGGCAACTTGGCATGACACGAGTACTCGCAGACATCCAGATGATTTATTCGACCGCCTCCTCTTGCGCTTGAAACAGAGTTTTTTTTTTTTACGAATTTCAGAGGACCCTTGTTCGTCTATTTTGCTGACATCAATGGGCGAGAAATTTTTAATAGGTTCAACAACAAAAACTGTACTATCAGAGGATTCAACAAAGTAAGTCCACTAATCAGAGCTCTGTTGCTAGCTACATTTCTAAGAAAGAACATGTATCCATACCACAACCCATGGGATCCAGAAAGAAAGAAAGACAACTAATTCAAACAGGCACCCATTTCATCCGGACCATTTTATGAAAGAGAAGACTAACAATCATGCCACATTTTGAAGCAAATCCAGCTCATTTTGGACTCGAAATATACATAAACAAAAATGCTAAATCCAATGCTCAGAAGTAAAAATCATGACGATGGCTGAGAAGCCGTATACCGGCTTGGTGTCCTTCTCCCCTATCCCTCACCTTCGATTTGGTGCCGCTTACACCATTAACGAGTTGGGCGATGGTGACATTGGGTCTTTGATTTCCTGTTGTTGGGAGGCATGGACAATGGAACCTGATGAAAGGATATGGACGATGGCATTTGGCACACTATCTAGTTGGATATGGTCCATGGACCGTGGGTCCCACACTCTCACTTGCATGATGATTCAATTTAGCTCTGATATTATTATCACCATATTATATTCACTCAAAAGAACCTGAAAAGCATCACTCATCTAAACTACTGAGAATTAAATCGACGGGTCGAACACTTGTCCAGCAAAAACCACAACGCCGCTGAGTTCCTCCTTGATCAAGAACACGAACGGGTGGTCGGCGACGAAGTCCACCGGCGCCTCCATGCGCGCGCAGCCGAAGCGCATAGCGACATCGATCGCGGAGGCCGCCTCGGTCCCTTCCTCGTTCACCTCCGCGAAGGACTCATGGTAGACATCGGACATGACGAGCGGCTCCGGCACCCCCCGCCTCTACCATGTCGCCGAAGTCGGCGGCGACGCGATCGAAGGGCAGGGGCAGCCCCAGGTCGACCAACATCTCCCTCGCGTTCGTCCTGTACACCACGGTGAACCTGGGAACCTCGAACGCGCGCACGCGGACCTCTGCCGTCAGAGTTCTGGAGCTCTCGAGCAGCGCCGGGTCCGTGCTCAGCTTGTGCAGCAGCGTCGGCAGGCCGTCGTGCGCGTTCGGGAGGTAGATGTACATCGAGAACAGCCGGTGCACGCTGCCGCCTTGTTGCGCGTAGCGAAGCCTCAAGACCTTGTAGCCGGGCCGGCAGGCGATGCGCTGCTTGCTGGTGCTCGACATGAACGGCACGCGGACGATGCAACCGTCGTGTAGGAAAAAGGCCTCGTCCCGCGTCAGGCAGGCGTCGAACTTGCGCTCCCAGGCGCCCTTGAAGTAGAGTGCGTTGGCGAACACTGCCGGCGTCCCGCGGTGGAGGCAGCCCGTGGGAAGAAGGTCCTTGATCCGGCCGGCCGTCGCGCTAGCGTCCACTGGTTGATCTGGCTCCTCGCCTCCTCTGGCTAGCGTAGATCAACAAGGAACAAAACGAAGTTGTGTCCAAGAACACCAAATTCGTGAGCCGTACGTACGAGAAGAAAGGGGATTCCGAGTTTACCATGGTTTTGAAGAACGCCTGGCGCGCCTCTGTGCGGTAGTGCTCGGCGGCGACGCGGGCGAACGAAGCTTTGAGCTGCAAATCGGCATCGACCCAGATACCGTTGGTGAAGCGCACCATGGTCCCACTCCCACCTTCGCCGCCGCCGTCAGTGAAGACGCGTAGAGCAACGTAGGATGCGAGCGCGGCGTGGGCGCTGCCGAGGAAGCTTGCGATCTCGTCTAGCGTGCCGCCCCGTGTGCCCGCGGCGAGCAGCGACAGCGCCGCGTGGAGGGACAACGGGGAGACGGCCAGGTTGGGGGGGGTCGCGGGAGGTGAGGTGGCGCAACACGCGCATGGAGAAAGTGGCCTCGTCCTAGGCGGCCTCCGCAAGCTGCATGGCCGCTGGTGATGCTCAGGCAGCCTCTGCCTCAGGTTGCGGTCAGCTCACAGCTCAGATACACAAAACGTGGAACCACCGAAATGGACAACAGGAGTGGTTGGATGGATGCGTCGCATTGGCGCTGCGTGTTGTTTGTAACTTTTGTGTCTCTAAGTTTTAATAAACTTGTACATAAGTTATACCTCAAGTTATTGGTTATAAGTTAATATACATAAATTTTTACTAGAAAAAATATTCGAAACATATAAATGTGAGGTTTAGTTTTGTCCGGCTCGTCACGTAGAACACAACGGTACAGATGGAACTAAAAATAGATATACCATTTAGAAGTTATAGTATTTAAAAATAAATGATTTGATTTTTTAAATTGACGTGAGCATGCAGACTGGTGCGGCAGACTAGGTGCGGGCTTCTCGGTGCGGTAGACCAGGCACGTGCTTCTTCGTAAACGGGCGTGCGCGTCTCATACTGTTCGCCGAACAGTAAATGGATGAACACCCGCGGGATTAGATTTGGGTGCGTGCAGTCGCCTTGTATAGTGGAAACGCTGCTCCTCTGGCGCGCAAACCCTTACCCGCAAGACACAATCCTACCGAGTTGACCGCACGGTGAAAATGCGACCAGAGCCTCGCGCGCGCTGCACGCACCGCCGCTGCCTGCCCATGTCTGTCTGTGACCCTGAGCCCACGTTGGCAAGCTCGCTGAGGCCCGAGCGCGTCGCCGCATGGCCGCACCACCCTGGACGGGTCAGTCCCGCCTGTCGCGCCGCCTTGCTCTGTTCTGCTGACCTGCTCGGCTCCCTCCCCTCCCCTCCCTGGACGGACGGACACGACAGGACAAGGCACGCGCTGGCTACAGTCTCCTCTCGTACACTCGTTGTCTCCTTCTCACTCTCCCTGAGCACCATTTATTTCACTCCTCACTCCCCTCTCTCTCTTCCTCGACACGGAAGTCACT